TTATCACACACAGTGTGAAATACATGAAATTGCACGATGACTTCCGCCGTTTAAACATGCATATTTTAAGAAACTGTAAACATTTGTTTCAGAAGTTGCATCTATTCTTTTTGAGAACTAAATATTCATGACTTCTCATGTGTGTAGATGCCCTAAGTTACATTGCCTCTGCTTCATTGATGTGGATTCTAACACAGATATTGCAGTACAAAATATTCAAACTGACACAATGATATGAAAAAACTTGGGCTAATAATTGTCAGTAATTTGGTTTTACATGAAAGTACAGGATATTGTGTGTTTCTGATTAGTAGAATGTACCGGGTATATAGAATATTATATAATGCAAGCCAATTACTGCACAAAAGAATAATTAACAAATATTTGGCTCAGCCGAATTCAGATATGCAATGAATGCTTCGTAAATCAACTCCGTATAATGATATCAGGTCAATAAAATTGTATGAATTCTACAATTGTCATTCTGATTTTAAATATATAAAAAAAATATACATACATGTTACTTTGTAGGAAGAACATATTCCATTAATTTTTTTGTTTTGTTTTTGAAAAATACAGTATATAGTTGCAGCATGTGTAAAGGACTCAAATAAAGTAAAGATAACGTATTTGATTTATTAGAAACATGTCTGTAATAGAAGTATCTAAAGCCAACAATATTCCAGTTATCTAAGCTCACACTGAGTGTAGTGATATGTAATACAGCAAATATAGTACATCGATTGTAACTTAACACAATTGTGAATACAGTGTTTCTAGAAATTGAAATGTTCTAGGTCTTTGAGCCACAGTTTGTTGTGAATACAGTGTTTCTAGAAATTGAAATGTTCTAGGTCTTTGAGCCACAGTTTGTTGATAATTTCATTTATCTCTGGATCAGAATACCTTTCAACGAAGGACTGTATAATGCCTGATGTGCTGGCCTCATATTCCTTGAGAACAACTGAACCATCTGAAAACAAATCAAATATAACTTTAGCTGAGCTGAGACAGACAGTGCTACCCCACCAAAGTGTTGGAGAGCTGGGACAGACAGTGCTACCATACCAAAGTGTTGGAGAGCTGGGACAAGTAATATCATGCATATCTCAAAAATTAGATCCATACCCCAAACTTGTTGGACCCTGTGTTTTGATAAATATGTAAAAACATTATAAAGTGAACTTACTTTCCAAGACTGTGTTTGACTGAACAAACATTCTTCTTGGTTGCTTTCTTGCAAGTACAGTTTGTCGCAGAGATAAGAACTTTTCTGGAGTATCATCATTGACAGCAGAATAGAAATCATACATGGCCTTACCAGCATTGTAATCAGCCGTAGATTTGTATAACTAAAAATAAACATAGGTAATTACATTTTGAAATATAAACTACCGTAGAATTGACACTGATGCAGGAGAGTTGGTTGGTTGTTTGGTTTACAAAATCAATATTACTATTATATGTTTTGTTTCTGTTTGTAGTATCGTAATACCAGATTTTAAATGGGAGATTAGCATTGTAAGTGATAACATACATGGTAAAACAAAAACGCTAACAACAACTACAGTGAAGTCAATCCATGTGCATGCACTTCACTTAGGGGATTTGCATGTCTCCAGTGGAACAGAGGCCAGCTCTTGAATATGCCATAATATGGAATCTTAAAAGTACATATTTGCAGTGACAGTTATGACATCAAGATAGAAACAAACACGATTTATGTATTTCCTCATGACATACCAGTAAATTTATGTAAATCTCTTTGACCATTTGTCTCTTAAAATTAGAGTCAGGGAAAATTTTGAACATTTCACTTCGTTCATGACAACAGGTGCACTACATCGACTTACCGGTATTAAAATATTCTGGTACAGAAGAATTTTGATCACTTTTAATTCATACCTGCAATTTTCTGAGGAATTTTCCAATAGCTTCTTTGCCAACAGTTTCTATTTTACTTTTATCTAGCCTTATGATAGCATCAGGTTGGCCGTCTTCACCAGTGAGCTTTTCAATAGTGACCAACCCTTCACCAGCTTCAAGCAAAACTCGTAAAATAACATAACGGGCCTGCATGTGAGCCTAGGAAGAAAGCAGTTAATGATTAGAACAGATACTCTGAAAACAGTGGCAAGAATAGATGTAGAATCTAGTAAATCACTGGAGCTGAATAAATTAGAAAACTGATATGCATTGATTCTACATAACATTATACATATATTGATCATAGTGCAAATATTTTTACATTCCATAAAATAGTCACCAATTTTCATCATAATTTTGGACTGTACAGACAATTTCAGTTATTCCTTTTCGATTTTTATCAACAGTTTGTCAGTTTTCATCAACACTTTATGTGTGTATGTGTGTGTGTGGGGGGGGGGGGGAGCAGACTGAAGTAAACTTATTTTGTTAAAATAGTGCCAAAAGTTGACAATGACACTCAAAGGGTTAAACATCATCAAGATTATACATAAATTGCAATAATGTATTTGCACTATAAGAAGTATGCTGAATTTTAGGTACCAGGTACTTTATATATATTTGAGTCAAATATTGTAATCAGCAGAGACAACACTGTGACATTTAGTGGGTAGTAAGTCTCTTGCCACAAAA